GAGTTAATAACGTAAATATACTGAGAAAAAGCCTACAGCCTGAGTAGGCTGCACGACATCGCTGCAACCGCATACGCTGCTCATCAGGAAGAACCCTTCTGTGACTCGAAACTAGTAGAACTTTTCTCAATATATTTACGTGAATAACTCGTACTTTTTACTAAATTTAGATTATTTATTGTTTAGAAGATTTTAATAGAAACGAGCTTTTCTTCAGTTATGTTCCACCATCTTGATTCTCTTAATTGCCATTATAATGGAGAAAGAGGCAATTAATAGACATCAAAAAACACTTATATCATCAACAAAATTAATTAATAGATACGACGAACAGTTAATATAACAGTCTAAATAGATTTTAACAGTGTATTACTCGGCGTGAAAACCTTAACTTGGTTTTAATTGGGTGTGGCAAAGTTAACCCACCTATGTGTTCGCGAAATAACCATTGAGGATTCCCTAACTTTTTGAACGAAAGTTAAATTGTCTCATTAAGCAGTTTGGGGTTTGTTTACGCGCCATTTTCCCAATGCCAGCGACATTTTGTTTGGATGGGCGGGAAAAGTGGTAATTTGCGGAGCTGTCAAAATATTTGTCTGTGGTCGACGCTCGCTTTGCGTTTCATTCATTACGACTATTTCGCACTATGGTTAATTGAGTTCTCGGATTCTATTTGTTCTCGGTAATGGCTTCATTTTACGTGATAATTGTTTTGTGACAATTTTATTTTTGCGTCTTTACAGTCAGTAATTGAACAATCAAATAGATATAAATACGCCTGAATTTAATCCTTATTAATTAGCATTCTGGTCTCAAATTCTCTTCATAATATTAAAAAGAAACATTTTAATTCAAAATTAATTGCCAAGTCCTTGTAAAACAAAAATAAGTGTATTATTTATCTCCGCCCACATCTAAACTCCTCTTTACATGGAACAATAACTCAGGCGCCATCTCTCGTCAGTTATTATGGCGTTTTGAGCCTCTTTAAGCTTTTAATCGCATTTGCAGGCATTGTGTTACTAAATCCACAAGTACTGGGATTTGGCTGCAAAATCCAAAGTATTAAATTTGTGTTTCCTTTTGTTACGAAAATGTTATTATAAAACGTAAAAACACCGTTTAAGTGTGGGAGAGCCATGCTTCGGCACGAATGGGCCGGCTCGACCGGAGTGATACCACGGCCTCACAGAAAACAGACGTGAAGCAACGCTTGCGTTGTGTTTCGTCGTGTGAGTGGGGTTACCGGAGGCCCAATTACCCTCCCCTTCCTCAATCTCCCCAATCCCTGAATCCCCAACGATCCGCAAACTCCTAATCCCCAATAGGTAACGCACTTGTAACGCCTCTGGTGTTCCAGGTGTCCATGGGCGACGCCGATTGCTTACCATCAGGTTATCCGTCTGCTCGTTTACCGGCTTATGCCATAAAAAAACACGGTTAGGTACGCCACTATTTTTCTCACAAATTATTGATATAGAAATTGTAGGTCAATGTTGGCACTTCTTTCACATCTTAATTGACAAGTAAGGCAAACAAAAACCACTATAATCCTTTTGTTATTTACTATCAACTAGTTCTACCCAGTTACTAGCAACTAGTTCATATTATTGATGTACTAGAAATGTGATGCAATTCTTGTTAAACATTTTAACTTACATAAATAAACCATTACGCAAAGCTTGTCGCCATCTAGGGCTTGTCATAATTTGTCCATTCGTTCCAAACTTTGTCCGCAAAACCCCTTCACAATATTACAGTGACTAGTAAAAAGTAATCCATTTGCGAGTAACCCCGGGGGTGTTTTGTTACATGCTCCATAAAAGCCTTTAAGCATTTTTACTGTGTTTTAATAATAAACTGTCGTGTCGTCTAGCGAAGCTCGTAAAACTGAATATTCGGTTTACGATAGGTACCTTGTAAAATGGCGGCCAGTCTTATCAAGTACAAATCAACTGGCATTTTGAATTATTTTCTTCTGTTTCTCGATGTGTTTTAAGATCTTGAATGTTCTATCTAATTTGTAAGTTTACATACATACATACATAACTTCACGCCTGTCTCCCATGGGGGTAGGCAGAGACTAAGGAACGCCAATTACTACGATTCTTACATACCTCTTTCGATTCAATAACAGTCATCAATCTTTTCATGCATGCTCGTCGGTTAAGGGTATTTTTAATTTGGCCCTTCTTTAATATAAGTTTATGATTTCTAATTATAAGTTTGTAATAGCCAACCCGCATTGACCAAGCGTAGTGATTAATGCTCAAACCTTCTCCGTGTGAGAAGAGGTTTTGCTCAGCAGTAGGCATTTATAGGATGTTGATGATGTTGATGATGGAAGGTCTATGTCTGAAGGTTGGTTTAAAGTATCCTAACGTTCGACATGTGCTTCATAACAGTGTCTACAAAAAATCTCTCATCAGAGCTATTATAATTGATGGAGGTAACGCATTAGCGGTTTCTGGGAGACAAATCTATTTAATCTATCTTGAGACACATAACATCACGCCTTTTATCACTGAAGGCGTAGGCAGAGGGGTGAGCCTATTAATCAATCTATCTTGAGAATAATGTCTTATCTTGTTATAGCGATTAAATGACCATGATTACGATGACTTTATAACTGATTGATTAGTCACTATCCATGGTGTTCCAGGTCCTTGGGCGGCGCCGATTGCTTAGCATCAGGTGATCCGTCTGCTCGTTCAGTGGCTTATGCCATAATAAAACAGAATTATATAACTTTCTCGTATAAGTACTTAAATACGAAGAAAACATAATAATACATATAGAAGTTTCTCTCTAGTACCGTCTAGTAAGAATATAATTTGATACCTTTAGGTACTCGAGCGCCTATCGAAACTTCTCTTCAACATCTTAGTTCTGAGAAGCGACGTAATAGACAAAATACTTGGAACAGCTTTCCTCAGTAAATACACTGAAATTTCTCTGAAATGATTTAATTGGAATATTAGGTACCTATACCAAGTCTCAAGAATTTTGCTTGGAACATAATTAATCTTTGTAAAGGTATCGTGTTTACCTAGAAATAATATGTTCAAAGATTTTTAAGAAAATATAATATGTTGCTGCAAAAATAATGTTATGTACAAGATAATATTATACACCCACTTTTGACCCGAAATCTATTGCGTAGGCTTTGGTCATGGGCATCCTATCGTATATAATAAGGCCATGAACCCACAATCAAACATCGGACACATCCAGGTTATAAGCTTGGTACTCAGAATTTTAGAATCTAATTTAAATCCTAATAAGGAGATGGCGGGACGAATTAGACATCTATGACAAGGATTGGCCGCAAAAGGCTTTATATAGAGAGGAGTGGAAGGAGGGTAGGGCCTTTGCCCTGCAGTGGGACGATCATGGCTGAAAATAAATAAATAAATAATAAAAAATTAAATCTAATAATACCTATTTGATCTGAGGTTCGAATTGTCATGGTCAACCCTTGTATTTCTGAACTTTAACTCAGAAAATATCCTACTAATATTATAAATGCGAAAATTTGTGACGGTGTATGTATGTGTGTTTGTTCCTCTTTCACGTCAAAACGGCTGAAGGGATCGTGATGAAATTTGTAACAGGGATAGGAGATAGCCTGGAAAAACAAATAGGCCCCTTTTTATCCCACAAGAACGCGAACGAAGCCACTGGCAGAAGCTAGTATAACATAAATGTGCGAAATAAATACTTATTTTTCCCACTTGACGTTTTTACGTCCTCGCATTAATTGATTGGTTTTCTATCCGAATGCGAAACGCGACGCCCACTCAAATATTTTTCCAATAAAACGTAAACTAAACCCGCCCCTAGGGGGTCAGTCGTAAAATATCGGGGAAGTGTCAGACCCCTATGGACCCCAACATAAAGTTTGTTACGTTAGTTTAGAACCCCACACGTGGACATAGTTAGGGAACCGGTATTTTGGACCAAATACAAAAGTTTATTTGGTTACAGGTTAGTGGGGACTCGATTACGAGGTCTTGTTTTTCTGTAAGGGTTAAAATATGTTAAGGTTCGATTTAAATAACAAAGAAGTTTTGAACACGCATTCTAACTGGTTTTTTTAGGGTTTAAGTTTCTGGACTATCGTAAGGGATATACCCGCTTACCGAAGGTAGGTGAAAGTAATTGACAAATAAATTACCTCTATGGGGACTGCTCGCCAATGTAACACCCACTATTCACTATTTATGTTATGAGTCCCATGTACCTAATAGGGGGTGAGCCTATTGCTATATACCGGGAACAATTCCAGTCTGTGCTACTACCGATATTTAAAAAAAACCCACTTATACTTTGCTCGACACAGGAATCGAATCTGAGGCCCCTTGCCCGGCAGTCACACTTGCGACCACCTGGCCAACGAGGCAGTCATTATAGACTAAATCTAATATAATATACTTAGGTACATAAAAGAGACAATCCTATATATGTAGGCTATTTATTTCTATTAGTGAAAGTATTATTTTACAAAGAAACCTATTATAAAGGGTAGGTACTAGATCCTCATACAAAGAGCACTAATATATCCGTACATAGGTAGCCCAGTACATATGTACTTTGCCTAGTGTCCCGTCAGATATGACCTAGTTTATGTACCGGGTCTGAACGCATAACGTATAAGGTTATTGCCTCGGCACACGATCCACGGTAATCGATAACCAGCGAAGCGATATTTGGAAGTATTTACTGATATATTTTGTGTATAGGGTGTGAACAAAACGCTGTCAAACGCTGACAAGTTTTGCAACTTGAGCATTTGATTACAATATTATCAAATATTATGTATGTCTCACCATTCATGGGACCGCAAGGTCTCGGTCATTGGGAGGCGTATGCAATTTTCCCGTAACTATAGGTATACATTTGATACGTGGTAGTTGCTACCTAAGTTTCAAAATCTTACGGAAAAACTCCAAACGCACTCGAGGATACAGCACCCTTAACTTCATCTATTTCATCTACAGCTATGAGACGGAGAAGAACGCGCTGGTGGTGTCGGTGGTCTCCTGCCAGAATCTCCCTGGTCGCGAGCCTGCTGGACCTGATCCATACGTCAAGCTACAGCTGCTGCCTGATAAACAGCATAAGGTCAAGACCAGGTTAGTACCATGTGTTATGTAGTTGTTTGCAGAGAAAGGTGTCTTTTTATATGATAGACCGGCAAACAAGAAGACGGATCAGCTGATGGTAAGCAATTGGTGCCGCCCATGGACACCCGCAACACCAGATCAGTTATTACCGATCTTTTGAGGGATAAGGGATTTGGGACGTGGAAAATTCTCATGGAGCTCCTTCAATTGATGAGGACAAAGGCGACCGTCAGACTCTCACTGACTGAAAGTCACACCGGTACCCATGTGTTCTCACGTGAGTGTGAGGGTGCGGAAAATCCTTCTCTCGTAGTCCCTGCACACGTGGAGATCTGTCTTCCCAAGCTAGGCTTGGCAAGTTGTAGCAGATGTTCTGAAAAAACTTGGGCCGAGCTGTAGCAGATGTCCTCAAAACAGAAAGATATACATTTGTAAATATATAGCAGAGTACCAAGAATACCCAAGAGTGTAAACATCCAAAAAGTTTTCCAATCAATCAAAACTTCATGATCGATACAGACATACCGATTAAGTACTTCTGATTACATACAGGGTTGTCCGCAAGACCCGCTGCCCGGTTTACGATGAGGACTTTACTTTCTACGGCATCTACCAGCACCAGATCTCCCTCATCACCCTGCACTTTGTTGTCCTCAGCTTTGACAGGTCTGTAAATTATTATAATAATATTTTTATGTCTAGTCGAGTGGATTTTTGAAATGTAAAGTAAAGGTCTTCCTTGCTTTACATCAGGCTTTACTTACTTCTTTACTGCTGCTTGTACTCATTCGAAAAAAGTCAACTTTGAAATAAAGGCTCGTATTCACATAGCAACATTTGACCAGTAACATGTTGCAGCAAACGGTAACTCAGCATTGTTGTCGATCCTCAGAAGTTCGGAACGACTAGTTACGTTAATTACATAACGTTGCAAAATTTTGTCGAGCGTCACGTGACGCGCATTAATTGCCGCCTATTACGCCTTTCAATATTAGAATTACAACGGAAAAAATCCCGTAATTCACAATATGATACAAATGCTTACCATTCATTTTCAGATATTCCCGCGATGAGATAATTGGCGAAGTGGTGGCACCGCTGACGAGCCTGCAGTTGCAGAGTGGCGAGCCCATGGCCCTTTGTCGCGAGATCCAACCACGCAGCCTGAAGGTACAATACTTTGTACTTAACTATCGTGGAACATTTCCTTCATTAGATAAATACATTATCCTTAAATGTCCCACGCTCACCACTTCCTATGTTTTCCGATTTTGAATCCATATTCCTGTACTAAACCTCAAGCTTTTTAGAATCGAGGAATATTTTTTTACATTTCATGTCCAATTATCGAGTCCATTTTAGCAAAACAAGTTTGGGGAGTATAGGAAACTACTCTGTATTGTTTCTTAATGGTGTCATACGGAGGTCCTAGAAGTGAACTTGTATAATAAATCTGTCGTCTTACCTGACATATATGACGACCCGTGCAGTAAGTGGGTGTTCGTGTTGCGTAGATGCGTAGCGTGGGTCGCGGCGAGGTGTTGGTGTCGCTGTGCTGGCAGCCGGCGGCGGCGCGCCTCACCGTCGTGCTGCTCAAGGCGCGCAACCTGCCCAAGATGGACGTCACCGGACTCGCTGACCCGTTCGTATACCTTCTTACTTACTGTCCTTTGAAAGCAACATGTCTATAGCTTCGACGGGATTTTTTGTCTTCTGAGTGCATGCTCTCTTTTCCTGCTAAATGTAAATGACAAAAATTATTACTTGCACCTCATAATCAACCAAGTTCTTTGTCAGCATGCTCTGTTAATGTTTTTTAAAACTTATTTTTAGTAGCTATTACCCATGTCCTTTGAATACCCTTCAAGATCCCACCTACATGTCGCTTATTTCCTAACACCAAGATAGATCTCATTAGTCCAGTGTAACAACTGTAAAAGGTAAAGTACATTTTACAAGAAAGTCCCCAATCTTAATAACTAATGAGATAACAATAAATGAAGGCATTTGCGCACGAAATCGTCTTATAAGCGGAACGCAAGCGATCAAATGAGTTTTATGTTCAAAGATGTTAGATATGGTTATTACGATCTTATTGCAAGTGTTCATTTTGCTCGTATCATACTAGCGATATTCCGAATCCCCACAATATAACATAACATAACATCACGCCTTTTATCCCCGAAGGGGTAGGCAGAGGTGCACACAGAAATAACACCCACTTTTCACTATTTATGTTATGAGTCCCATGTAATAGAGGGTGAGCCTATTGCCATATACCGGGCACAATTCCAGACTCCGTGCTACAACTGAAACTTGTTTTGAGTTTATAAAAAACCCAGTAATACTTTGCCCGCCTCGGGAATCGAACCTGAGACCGCACTTGCGACCACTCGGCCGTCGAGGCAGCCCACAACATAAAATACAAAAAATCACTTTCTTACGTTAAACTTCTTTCACAGCTACGTGAAAATGTATTTGTTGTACAATGGACAACGCATCGCAAAGAAGAAAACCCACGTGAAGAAGCGGACGTTGAACCCGGTGTTCAACGAATCATTCGTATTCGAGGTCCCGGCCGCCCCCAACGCAACATTAGACCACGTGTCCCTCGAGCTGCTCGTGCTCGACTGGGACCGGGTCACTAAAAATGAGGTATGAGGAATATATATGTATATTGTAATTTATATAGCTATATTATTTAATATTAACCTTTATTTACTCTCTTAATTATGTTATAATTTATTAATGACTTACTTGACCACTGACAACCCTCGTCCCGGCAGGTGATCGGTCGACTGGAGCTGGGCGCGGTGGGCGCGGGCAGCGCGCGGCACCACTGGCGCGAGGTGCAGGCGGCGCCGCGCCGGCAGATCGCCGACTGGCACAAGCTCAAGGAGTGAACGCGACACCTCCCTGCTTGCACCGCCTGATCTTGTAGCCCCTGGAATGATATAGTTGTTCATCAGACGAACCGATTAGGACGATCTCCCCGAGAGATCTCAGGGAGATCTTCACACATGTAATTGTCAAGGACTCTTGTAAACATTTTTTTGTCCCGAAAGAGCTCTATAACCTAGGAAGACAACCAGGTAGGTCCTTTTGTTTCAAATTTCGCAATTATGTATCTAGCCATAAAGATGGTCCCTACATGGCTACATGGTCAGGTTATATGTGCAGTCATCACATTTCCCAATCCCTATATCCCTACAACATTTTAATTGCCTAAAATGCGTAACGTATTATACAATCATTTGAAAATATTGGTCAGAATTATTTGGTATGATGAACGTCCAACTACTCAAACGCTTCCCAATTTGAAGCAACTTGCCACGGCAATTTCAAAGTACTTAATTTTTGATGACTAGGTTCGAACGATATAGAAATCGCAACTTGTCTCGAATTCACTAATGATTTTGTTGCCCATTTTGAAATCGAGGAGCGTTTCAGTATTTGGGCGTAGTTTCACTTATTATTATTGCACAGATTATGAATAGAAATTACGGCCAAGCCAAAGTCCAGCGGTGTTTTCCAAGCATTTTATTTAGTGTTAATTTGTAAACTAAAAAAAAAATGATATTGTATATTAGATAGATGAAATTATTTGGAATTTATTCGCGTGGAATATTTGTATATTTGTTTGTTTGTAAGCGCACAGCATCCCATACCCTTCCCCAGTAACTGACGGATTATAGTAAACGTATATTCGTGTTTATCTGAATGTAGATCAACTTTGTCTTGAAACGGGAGGGAAGAAGAAACAGGAAAGTTCCTAAATTAATATTTCAAAAACAATAATCGAAAAATAGTCTGTCAAATATTATCACGCAGAATGCTCAAAATTCTACAGAACTTTTAAAGAATCTCCCGTTTCAATCTCTTCTAATTATCTACATATCTAATTATAAGAACACTTGATGTAATGGAATTCATACCTTACGTGTTAAGCTTTACGATCCTGAATCCCATGCACCTAAACGTTAAACTAATGATATCTCTTGCTCACGGAAGAAAAAAGATGGCGAATTTTAGAGCTGTCAAATTTGACCGTTATAAAATCCTTGTCGTCTCTTTCTTGTAACGAATGTTAGTAAGAGATGGCAATAGTTTAAATATAGTTTAGGCGTACCTGAAAACCTTTGCTAAACCCTATAAGCTAAAAGTTAGAATAGTATTTAATTTACAATTTAGCTCTCATGAATCAAAATTATTCAAAAATGTCTGCAGCCGAATCTATAAAGTCAACACAAACTTTGGTATCTAATCATTAGTTTCTCTCATTATCTAGATATCCTAAATTACTGCGGTAAACCTACAGGAAAGCAATTAAACTGAGAGTTTAGCTCATTCACGTCACAGCCGTTAACATGCGCAGGATTCGAAAAAAAAATACTCATTGATCAACTAGAACATAACATGTATAGTTTTTAGGTTAGAAAAATAAATCTATTTTATACCTAAAGTTACTTTAATAGTTGTTTAGGTATGTGTAAAGCTCAGAACGAAGCTTCGAAACTGTCTCGTATCCTCATAGTGTCGCTGTGTAACGATAGATGGCGCTGTTCTTAATTCATGTCATACGCCAACGTATTTTTTGAAATCGTAGCAGATGTAATTATTTAATCATTGATGACGTAATTTGTGTCAGAAAGTAGTAGAGACAATATACGAATTATATTTAATTTCCCTATTAAATATGTATGTACAGTTATTCTCTGTGGATATTGGAACCAACGCTAATGTCTTACTTATCTATATATTCGTTGTAGTAGTGGATTTAAACGTATGTAGACGTTAATATCCCTTTATATAAGACAAGTAACTCCATACTTAAAACATTCCAAATTGTTTAAAAGATGTAAATAGTCATTGCTTGGATCATCGGAAAACCGCTTTCTCATTCTAATTGTTAAAATAAGAAATTATAATTAGATATAAGAACTTACTATGATAAAAACTAGGCTTCATTTAGGATGATGGTACAAATTTTAACAAGCTTTAGATTAACAATTCTGTACTCTATCCAGCTGACATAAGAATTGGATTAAAAATGCAAAAATGTACCTAATTGCAATATATTGATGCAGATGCTCTAGTCTTATAGTAACCGTGTTAAAGATCAAAATCGGTTGATACAACTGCAGATAAAGTTTGTTAAAGTTTCTAACATCATTTTAAATGAAGTATAAATGTTTCCGTTTTAAAGATCTCGTGTGTTTTACTTTCTAAGTACTTAGATACTTAATTTGTATTTAATTTCATAAATGTACATGTGTCGTAGATGAAACATGCGAAACTGGTTCTTATCGCTAAAGGCATAAGATCTGTTTTGTTACTAGGATATGCTGTAAGTAATTTGGAAATTGATGAAGTATTTATGTTCGATTTTTTTGAAAGCAATGAAACAGATCTTAGGTTTCATTAATAAAATTAATGTTGCAATTGTACTGAGACATTTATTAACATCGAAACACTATAAAAGTATTAAAAAAACACTAAGTAATACAATTTTATGGTAGTCACTCCATACACTACATAATCAATGTCAAAAAAAGGAAATGTCAATCAAAATTTCATGACAAAATGTCGAAACAAGTCGTATTTTCCGACATCTTCCGAGTTGATAAATGTGTCAGTAAAGCAAGTTACCAGCTGTACCAGCACTGTAGTATACTAGACCACGTCATCCAAATCACAAATATCAGAATTGTATACTAAGGGAATTTTAGTGAATAAAATTTATTGACTGGTGCTTTCACAATATATTGCGAGTTTTATTTATTTACCTATAGTATATAGTACCTACCTACCTACCTAAGTCCATATCAGTGGCGTGCACAGGTTTTCGAGACAGGGTAGGCAACAAATATTGTAGGAGTCACCCCCCTTCCCCCCGTCGTACCATCATACTCGCACAAGACATAGGTACTTATTACATTTCGACAAGTGCGTTTATGTAGGCGTGGTGGCCCGGAGGTTTAAGACGCCCGCTTTTTATGCATGAGAGTGCTTCGAAACCTACCAACGGCAAGTAATAAATAATGTGGCTTTTTCCGAGTTATATGTACTTTCTAAGATTATTAAGACACCACTAACAAACGATGAAGGAAAACATCGTGAGGAAACCTGGGCTTATAATTTCTAATTATAAGTTTGAAATCGCCAACCCGCATTGAGCAAGCGTGGTGATTAATGCTCAAACCTTCTCCTTGTGAGAAGAGGCTTTGCTCAGCAGTGGGCATTTATAGGCTGGTGATGTGTTTATGAAGGCACAGCACAGCACAAGAGCAAGATACGCGGTATCAGTTAAGGAAATAGCCAGATAACAAAACACAAGCTTGCGTGACGTAGAATTGAAACTAACTGACACAGTGACACTGACAACCAAATTTTGTAAAGTCGCACCCCGTGTCATGCCAAAAGAACAATAGTGACCAATCACAAAGCTTGCCGATTGTTTGAAGTTGAAGCGCAGGTAAAAACTACGAATAATACGAATATGAAACAATAGGTTGACCATCTCGCAATTTTACCTGCTCCTCATAAAACTTCTCCCTTCCCTGTTACACATGCAAAAGTATTGACAATCATAATTACCTTTTTGGATAGCTGATAAAACATGGATATTTTTCTAAAAACTTGTAGGTACTTACGTCAGGCGTAGTAATTTTTTTTTTCACTAGACAACATTTTGTATTAAGTAATATAGCGAAAATCACAACAAAAATGTTTCTACAGTGATATTTGCCAAAGATTTGGTATTTTTGAAGTTTTAATTATTTACAAAGATCTGCTACGGCATCACCTATGATATTAACTGATATTTCAGCACAGTCGCGCTGTAAATCATTTTTAAATTGGCTTCAAATGATTTATTTTTTCATTTTTTCATAAAAACCTAAAAATCGAAATAACTCAAAAACTACTGAACTTCGGTAGAACATTAATTGGTGGCCTAATTTGCTGAATTTTAACCCTACTATGACGCCTTGCAAGGAATACGTCGAGTTACCAGTAACCCTGTTTAAGTACCTGATAAACTTATGTGACATATAGTTCATACAAATTATGTTCGTAGATAACGACTATCCAGATATTGTGAAACAGGCCCTAAACCTATTATTCACAGAAGGTATTTATTAGATAATCAAATGGATAAAGGTCTCTCTTTCTTACAAGATTAGTTATTATACCTTATCCCCATGCTTAACAGGCAACTTGAGAAAAATTAAGAAAGCTACTGCCCACCTTGTGGCGGCTGATCACTTTGCAACATACTCGAGTTCAGAAAAGACGGACAAGACTGTGCAAATTAAAAACCTTTATTAATATAACATTTATGCGTAGCGTGACTCAATCATTATTAAATTAATAATATATTCATTGAATAACGAATACCAGGCGTGTATATTATCTTGACCTGAAAATCAAACTCGCGAATCACTTTGCGACCAAAACTGTTCACGCCAGTGTAATTACCTCTATTCATAAACACAACTGCTAGTCTGTTGCAAATCTATCATTCTCCTAACTTTCATTACCTACATAGTTGATAAAATATATCAATATCTATCTAAATGACTGCTTCATTAGCCAAATGGTCGCAAGTTCGACTGCCGGACAAAGGGTCTCGGGTTCAATTCCCGAGTCGGGCAAAGTATTACCTTCTGGGTTTAAAAAAAATTTCATTGGTAGCATGGAGTCTGAATTGTGCTCGGTACATGGCAATAGGCTCACCCCCTATTACATGGGACTCAACATAAATAGTGAAAAGTGGGTGTTACATTGCACAGTGGCAGGGTCGCAATGTGCACCTCTACCTACCCCTTTGGGGGTAAAAAGGCGTGATGTTATGTTATATTATCTATTTGAATATCGAGATAAACCGAAACGCGGTCGCAGACGACAGTAATTTATTATTGTTAAAAATCAACAAAATCCTTTGTTTAAATGAACAATAGATAAATAATATGCTTTGTGCGAAAGAGAACGTTCGAAGATAGCGTTCCGCGATCAGAGTTCAAGACGTCTCTTTCGCACGTTATCTAGAAACCTCGCGTAATGACAGTTCGACCGCGGCGGTCAGTAACACCGAACGCACGTCGCGTTGCACCGCGTTACGCGTTCTTCTATTTAATTGCGTCAACAAACCTTAACTATGTCCGAAACGGAAAGATTGATCGAACACGTGAAATGTAGACGGTTTCTATACGATTTAAGTGATCCGCTGTATAAAGATCGGCACAAACGAATGGAAGCATGGAAAGAAATCTCGCGGTTAATGGGCTCGGGCAGTGGTGCTGGTGAGTTGTAATTATGTATTATAACGCCATCTATCGTATTTTGCAAGTATCGTACCTTATCGTAACCTTCTGTTAGAGTGCTAGATGGTGCTACCTGTATACAAGCGGAGTATTTGACAATTGAAATACACAATGTCACGTCTTCTAAATCCAAATGGGTAAGCAGAGGTATTGACAATGTAACGTCAAGTTTCATCAGTTATGTTAAAGGTCCCATGTAATAGAAAGTCATTGTAACGATTAGCGGAAATCTAGCGCGACGTAGGTACTTATTTATAAAATAAAATAAAAGTTTTTATTTTATTTAATTTGGGTTGATGGTTGGTGGGTTGGGGCCACCGTAACCCCGTATAATTGACACGGCAGATAGGGCGCTAGCTACGCCCCTGCTCTCTTATAAAACAAAAATTAGGATTAAAATTGTCATTATTGTTCAAGATTATTTTACTCACATGCTTATTTTATTACCTACAACTTATTGGGGAGTAAAGGTATTATGATTTTTTATGCTGTTATGTGTTACTAAATTCAGTCTTTATTTTCAGCGCATATTTGGAGCGCAAAATGGAAGGGTTTGAAGGACAATTACGCTAAATTCAAGAAAACTTCGGAACCAGGTTTCGTGGAAGCGTACAAGAAATACAAACACTGGCCTTGGGCGAATAAAGTGAAGTTTTTAGACGACTGCGTCAGCACAACATGTAGGAGGGCTTATAATTACACCCCAAAAGAAATTCGGGAACCTAGTCCAGAGAACAATGACACAAAAACCTCAGAAGACAATCTACAAGAAGGATCAAATGAATGTGAGGTTAAAAAGGATTCTTTAGACGGTGTAGACCATTTCTTCTTAAGTTACGCGGAGACTTTCAAAAAATTACCTTCTCGTATGCAAATTATGTTAAAATTAGAAATAGCTACGTTGTTTACGAGGTACGAGCTGCAAGCTGAAGGTATGTCCAGCGAATCTATTGAAAACATGCCACGAATAGTGCCTCACCCTGTCAAATATGAGTTCGAATTTGAAAATAATATCATGAATGAGTAAATTGAGACGATGACATTTTTTATAATGTCCGTTCGTTTAGTAACTAACCTACCTACTTGATTAGTTTAAAAATATTTGATATAAATCTTAAATGTTAAGTTCTTTATTTTTGCAGTATCTATAATTTAGTAATAACTGTGTATTTTTTTTATGGGATAAGCCGGTAAACGAATCCTCGGATTACCTGGTGGTAAGCAATCGGCGTCGCCCATAGACACCTGGAACACCAGAGGCATTACAAGTATGTTACTGGGATTAGGAATTTGAGGATTGTTGGGGATTCAGGGATTGGGGAAAGGGGGCGTGGTAATTGGGCCTCCGGTAACCTCACTCACACGACGAAACACAACGCAAGCGTTGCTTCACGTCGGTCTTCTGTAAGGCTGATACCACAGCCCACACACACTCCGGTCGAGCCGGCCCATTAACGCCGAAGCATGGCTTTCCCAAAAAATGTACAATGTGTATATATTTTCATGTCATCCATATAATTGTAAAATAGGAAAAGTAAGAACTTTAATTATTTCTTTTCTGTTTTTGTTTTACCTGACATTATGGAACATTTCTTTTTTTTTAATATTTTCGTCGTATTTAGTCGTTTCTCCTATAAATATAAGAAGATTATTTCTAGTTTAAACAATTTTCTGATTTCAAGTTGTTTATTCTTTTAAATACTACTGAATGTATTTTTTAAAATAGTGGTTTATTACTAACTACAATTTTTTCTTCTATTTTGTGTCTATCTCACACAAATGTAGAGATACTTGACGTATACGATTTATTTTTGTAACGAAATTGTAATTAGTGTAGTTGGTAAGTACCTAATAAATATTTTTTGTCATTTATACTTCGACTGGTTTTCTTTTGAGCTTTTCCCGTACAAAAAATACATAACATGCACAATTTACTTAGGTATATGTATATACATTAACGAAATTTCTTTTGAACCGACTTCAAAAAAAGGGGTGTTTCTCAATTCGACCGTATATAAATGCTTATTTTATTAATTTTATGCACATTTCGCAGAGATTATGGTCACATACCAACCTAATTTATAATTAAATAATTGTTTGTAAAATAATAACACAAAAACTCTTATCAATTGTATATTTGATATCAAATCTTATTACATAACACAGCTTATAACAAAAATTATTACATTTATACCGGCGTCACGAGTCACGCAATGAAATACTAGTGACAGCGCTGCGATCTTTTCAAATGTCATGTAAGTGCTTAATGTGCTTTTTACTTTTTAAAACCTTAATAAAATGTTGAAATTGGACTGAACATATTTAAAATATATACCTAGAAAAAAAATCAACTGGGCATTATTTGTAGAAATTAATGACTCCTACTGAATAATTATTTCGAAATCGAAAATAAAATATTGTTTTTCTTCTTCAACATTTAAAACAAATTAACAATAAATAAATAACGATGATAATTCGAAAAATATGTGCTATTGAAAATAATTCAAGTATTACTAAAAAATGTATCATCCAGGCCAATTTCGACATAGTTCTTACTGTGTCATTAAAACTCTTCTGTATTACTTGCATTAAAAGTGTTCTAGTTAAAACAAATTCTGCATCGTGAGAGTAAAACCGCTACATTTTTGTTTAAAAAAATCATAAAAACGCGTTGTCTCAGTTTAAAGCCCGAGTCCATCAAATATGATACAATTTCCATCCATTTTTTATATCGACATTGTATTAAAAATCTTTTCAAATGTAGGAAAATATTAACATAAAGTTACAACGTTCACCTTTACGATTAAAATACAAATTACAAGAACTTTCAAAATAATACAATTATTAGCAGAAAATTCTTCAAGATAATTTGATACTACTATCGATAAAAACAAGAACATCACTATTGCTCCAAGGTGAACGTTGCCTCCATAAAGTACAATGAAACAGTGAAAATTTGAGAAACTAACTCCTAACACATAAGTACGCTAACATATAAATCACACCAGTTTTATAAACAACTAACTTTAAACATTCATTTCAGATACATCTCGTAGAGATTCGTCTAGGAATCAACATTTATAAAATTACACATCGATATTGTCTTTTTTAATACAATCCCTACTTGGACGTCTCTTTGATTTCATCTAGCTATGACATTTGGTGGTTCCCATTTAGAGATGTACACAAAGATTTAAAATATTGTATCGATAAATTTCTAAGTGAAGCAAAGACTAGATTAAAATGACAAAGTTTCTTATTTATAGTTAAAATGTGTCTTAGATTTATGGCAATTTTATAAATACCTCACGTTATATAAAATAATAACAGAATGTTCAACATTGAATACAATACAAAGGTACACTATTTAGACTCTATTTTAGAGTTGGGACAGAATCTCAATTAATTTCTATCGATAAATTAAAACTTTTACCACGGATTTTGTAACTAAAATGATTATTTCAGTACTTTTGTTGTTGAACAAGTGCCTTCTCTAAATGGGAAACCCCAGAACACCAACACAAATAGTATAAAACACTAAACAGTGATACAATTAGGCAAGAGAGTTAGAGATGTGCGTTCTAGAGTGAGTGTACACGCACTACTGAATTAAATACTTATACAAAACAATACAAGTTACACACTATGACTATTCAAATTAGTTTTTATTGCTAATAAAATAAGATATGAATTCTAGTTCAGATATGTTTGAACTGTGTAGATATTTAATCATTTTGGTCCAAAGTATTTTATTTTATCAAAATTTTCATTTTTTGTTATTTTTTTTTTTTGTTTTGTTCCGAATGGTTTAGTTTTGTGATTATGATTTTGTACAAAAACTATAATGTAAGTTCTTATAGTATAGTTATCAAGATTACATGGAATCATTAGAAAGCGAAGATCGTTTCATTTTTATTTTCTTAACAAATTAATTAATAAAATTAAATAATTTTAAAACATTTTTTGAAAATATCTGAAATTAAAATTGTTCATGAATTTGTGATTTTATTCAGTAATGCAATAGGGCGTTGTAATATTCCGTATATTCGTAGATATTGTGTAGGCTTAAATAGTTTTTAGTCTATTTTTTCGTTTACATTAGTTAATAGTAGAGTAGATTACATTTTCTTCACATCCAAATCCATAGATAAATATTTCCCACACATGACTTTTTAAAATTAAACTGACAGATACAATTGTCTATGGATCCTAATACAAAATATTTAAAACCTCATTATCGATATTTTAAAAAAGAACGACTCGTTTAAATGGTAACGGTCCTTATAACAAAATAAAAATGTCTAAAAACTAAAATATAATTACAAAAATCATTCGAGTATACATTAATAACATGATTTTATATACAAACTATTAAATGCACTCTAAATTAATAATGCTGTGTATTAAAAGGCGTAAACTGGGCAAGACAATGTGTTTCGACATAGACATGTATTCCTTTTTTCATTTTCAAATGGCAGAGTAACGGCAGGCAAGTTTACATTGCAAAAAATTATTTTGATTACAAAAAGTCGATTACTCAAAAATGATATTATTTCATTAAATCCCATAAATGATTAGATTACCTACAGATGCTTTCTTGAAGTCGAAGACAAGACAGACTGAAGCACATAGTCAAACATCATGGAAGTATTAAACAGAATATGTTATCTGTAGTAGCTAAAGTAGGTACAAAATTAAAACAGTATGTCACAATGCTCGTTAAAAACACAAAGAAAGTAGACACTAGTTAATTTAATGAAAATCCCCCGACATATATCAATATAAACTCACTGAGTATTCATAATAGTCTTGTAGATCGCTACAAATGATTTGGAACAACACAATTCTGTGAAGAGAGCATTCAGGAGGCATTGTATTGACGTGCTGTGAAACGAACGCTGAGGCGATATGCTACGTCGCTTACCGACTTTGAACTGACATTTTTTTCTTTTAGGAGCAATATTTTTACACCAATTTTCACGGTAGATGATTTTTTATTCCTTTTCAGTATTAAAACAAAAATCTATTTCTGAGCCTGCACCTGCAAGGACTGACGTGAATTCTAAGACCAACAAAAGTGGTACTTAGTATCAATTTGATATAGTATTGTCAAGCCCAAAGCCGGCATCAACTGTGCACAGACGTACATACAAATCTAACTAGAAATATTGTTTATAATAAAAAATCAAATCTCCATTTGTGGAGATAACGATATTGTTAGTGTTCCCATAGTCGAAGTTCTCGGGAGCTTGTCCCGTCGACATGAAGCCTCGTTCGAGGAAAATCGTCCAAATACTTTGATACGTTGGTATATCTAGCTTTGGGTAAGGACGGCACAGGGTGTGTGAGTGTGTGTGATTATAGCAGGCCTCGGTCCAGTTCCTTGCGCAGCATCCTGGACAGCTTCAGCACGTCCTCGTCCACTTGGCCCGCGAACAGCGCGTCCAGCAGCTCGCCACGAGACGCGATCGCGAACACTCCTGCGAGCCTAGACACTGACTTGTCTGTGAGGTGTCGCTCTACCACGGCCCTGGAAATTTTAATAGTAAATTAGTATGACATTTCCCTGAGGTTAATAGACTTTCTCATCTTCCGTACGAGATGACTTCTTTTCTCAGTTGAGTGAGATAGTAAGAGGATGACTATGATGAGGTCAATAGAAGTATTCAAAAGTGCAATCGAAACCACTTTCTATTGTCCAAAATATGTTATTCATGCTTGTTTACTTGAGGGACTGGTGTGACTCGCGCAGTGCATCTTGGAGGAAGCCGCGATCGTATGAGAAGTCCACCTCACAGAACGACACCACCGCCATCAGTACAGTCTGGAACACCACAGAACAATAATTAAAACTTATCACCAATTGAATTAATTTATTTTTAGAGACAGTCATTGTACTACATACGATAAAATTAGGTGTTTCCTGTTAAACTGTATAAATAGAAGCAAAGATTAAATGACTTGATGTTTTTAATTGTCCTTGGTTTAATAAAATGTCAAGTATATTAATTCGGTAGAAAATTGAGTCTAAACAAAATTCAGCTTAGTGACAATTTAGATAGATATGTTATTATCTTGATGCTCCTTGGATGCACCAAAATCGTTAGTAGAGGCCAGAAAAAGGTAAGCCATCGTTCGTTGTCTATCCCTTAATGCTTGAACATTTTGACCACTCACGTGGAACTTGGACCGGAACGCAGCCAACGCGCGCTCGTCAGCAGCCGACAGCTGACCGTGTCTGCGCAACACGCCCAGCTTCACTGCCGACTTGATCACGTGCTTCACCAACTTCTCCGCTTCACGCTTCTCCAGACGCTCGCGGAGCACCGTCAAAAACTGGAATTGAAGAGACCAGACATAGTAGCAAACCCACGACACAGGAGATAATCCTAGTGTGGGGCAACGTTTTTTTACCAAAAAAAAAAACCTAAATGCTTGATAATAATAATAAGTTCTAATTCCAATTCTTTATGATCACTAAAAGAGGCATTTGATACACGAGCAAGGTATCCCGTTAGACTAGAAACTATCCGTATCCCAGAAATCTATGAGTTTATTAGAATTTTGTTAAATATACAATAGGATTATCATTTTACCTGGTCCAGCAGTTTAGCGGCATGCTCATCGAGCACGAGTGCGCGTGCGCTGGCAGCGCCGCCCACGCGGGACAAAAACTTCTTTTGCGCGCGCAGCGAGATGTCGCGAGCGCACCAGGCGCCGCCTTCCATTGCTGTGAACAAGGAAAGAAGACACATGAATTCAATGTTTAACAGCGATCAATTACGAATTAAAAACATAAAAATATCAACTCGAAAACAAGTTGAGAGTGTATATATGTTGATGATTCTACCTTATCAAACCACATCACGTCCATGTCTTACTCTCTTTAGTTTTCAAACTTGTTTTGGTAGAACCTGTTTTACACGAACATTTGTAATTATACCAACACCCATTTTTTCATGATGTACCTAATATCTAGTTATGTACATACAAAAATTGTCTTTAGGTATCTGGTTAAAAAGAGAAAATGCGAAATCAATTTCCAAGATGGCGTACAAGAGAGGCATAAAATGTAAACGATTTGCAGATAAGCAATACGGCAATACCACGCCATTACTGGAGCATTCCAACATTCCGTGCTCATAAGAATAAACTTTTTGCAATTTCACTGTTCAATGGTTCGCGTTTATACGAAGGTAATAATTAAATCGGGACCGAAATCTGAACTAATAAATTGAACATTCGATGATCAGAATATCGGTAATGTATTCGGAAATGGCGACCTAAATAACCTTAATTAGAATCGTTCGTTAATGAATGATTTATCAAAAGATAATGTTAATAATATTCGCTGGAATTTTGAAAGTAATAATGCAACGCATCTGCCCACATACATGAAATATGTCCTCTAGGTCTGTTTACAATTGGTTAGAGGAATCTATTTCAATTCTGTGCAATGAACAATAACAATTTCAATTGAATCTCTAGTAACTGGGGCATTGCATTGTGGGTTGTTAGCTTTCATTGCATCTGTTTATCTAGATTCAAACACATTGGTATTCATACATATCTGATGAATATAATATTTAACATTCTCTGCGATTTAATTGAAAGTTTAGTTAGAAATCTGATTAAAAATAGCATGCTCTCAAGTCATTGTTAAAAGAGGTTTACTGATCACTCTAAAACCTTTTTAAGGCTCTTAACTATTTTGATTATTTCATTTTAATAAAACCATTTTCATTTCAACAGTCAGTTGGGTAGTAACAGGTGGTTAGTCGACAGTTCTGCTTACTTAGAAGTAAAAGTAAACTAAATGAAATATTCGCAACTCGACTCCTATCACGGCAGTCTCCAGTTTCCAACTAGATCAGTAAATGCAAGAGATAATACAGACCATAAGTACTATTGCACTCTCAGTTCCGTCATTTTCATTACTGGGTGGGACGACAATTAGACACGTTGAAAGAGAGGTCAGGTGCTAACTGAACTCAGGTAGCTATATCCACTATCTATACATGAAAGCATTATCCCTTTGTCGTCGGTTTCCATGGCAACCGACGTTGTTATCAGACGGGACGGTGCAGACAAATCGTCGTCGGATATTGCCCGACCCTACACTGTCCGTGACGTCAACAGTAAAGTTCGAACAGGTGTATTTAACAACAGTATGTTGTGAACTTGAAAAGATTCCGTCTCGTTTCATTGTTGGTTCCAATAGGGTAGATGACCAATTTTTATTTTAATGTCCGTCTGGTAGATTATTTAAAAACATTAGTAACGTACTTTTAATTTTTTTACGGAAACTAATAGTTTCGAAGACATATTGATTTGAAATGTCGCGTGACGTCACTTCTATGTACATTTTATACGTAGAAATGACGTTTTAGCCCCCATTCCTAAACTTTGATTCGTTATATCTTAGTACCATTTATAATACAACAAAATAAAAAAATACGTGTTTAATATTTTTTTCATTCCCTAACTGACGGACTAATTACATTTTCAATTTTCATACCCCGACATCCCTATAGTAATATGCTTTTTTAAACTCGGACCTGACTAAGTATTTGTTTTCGATTTTAAATACTGAGCAACAAGACTGTTTCGCTATAAACTTACCATGTTAGTAGAGATCAACAAAAATGTACTTCTTTTTTAACCGACTTCAAAAAAGGAGGAGGTTCTCATTTAACACATTTTTAAAGTATAAGAGTGTTTCTACTTAAGCGGAAGATACATGAGTAATATGGTGTTTATGAACTGTCCTTTATAATTAAAACAATTGCAAGTCATTAGCGCCTACGAACTAGCTGACATTGCAGCTGCGATACTCCCAGCTGCTCATTCTCATAAGAACACAGTGTCGATTCTCACCCTTATTTCTTAAGCAGTTAGACTGGTTTTTGCAGTAGAAACGCTAAATTGCATTGAACTTTAGGTGACATTTACATGGTGAAAATTATATAGTGGATAAGGAACTAATGATATGTTCTATAACCTCGTATAGTCACCTTCGTTTTAAAACATCGATTAAAAGAGTTGTGAAAGGTGGAAGTTCCGGTTATATGGCACGAAGGTTTGCTATTCTCAGTTTTCTTTACTTGTGAACATTTATTTTTCAGAGAAATAATAACGCATAATTTTTATGAAAGCTGAAATATATGCCTAATCATATCGTTTACTAGCGACCCGCCCCGGGTTCGCACGGGTGCAAATTGCATGTTTTATATATATATAAACCTTCCTTAAGAATCACTCTCTCTATCTATAAAAAAAACCGCACCAAAAACTGTTGCATAGTTTAAAAGATCTGAGCATATATAATGACAGACAGACGGTGGATAGTGACTTCGTTTTGTACTATGTAGTGATAATATGACAATATGCCATAACGAGTATTGCAATTAAATGGAAAGGACAAGAAAATCAAAAAGAGATGTATGCATTGTGAGAGGGCTAACATGAAAGAATGGATCTTACGCGTATGGTGTGATGACTTGAAAGGGGGAGAATGAACAAGGTGACATATTGCAAACACTCCCAATTAACTTGGATTAAGGATAATAAAATCACTACATATTATAGAACAACGTCGCTATCCGCCGTGTGTATGTCCCTAAGTACGCTTACATCTTTAAAACTACGCAACGGATTTTGATGCGGTTTTTTTTAATAGATAGAGTGATTCTTAAGGAAGGTTTATATGAATACACGCATATTGCACCCGTGCAAAGCCGGGGCGGGTCGCTATGAGTTATACAACAGATAATGTTCAAAAATAAAAAGATGTTCTCTTATTTATTTATTTATTCATATTGCACAATGCAATTGCACAATACAAGTATTACATGCAACTAGTTCAGTACATTACGTTGTTAGGGCGCAGCAATTTAACTTACAGTGCTACAAAGCGTAATGCAAAGATATAGACTCTTAATAGGTGCGGACAGTGAAGCTAACATACCTTTAGTAATCAATGCGTGATATCAGAGAGTCTGTTTGATACCACATGAGAATAGATATTGCTAAGCAAAAACAAAGGCCACAAGTATCACATAAGATTCAGTGGTTCAGTGAATTCAGGATATGTCTTCGTAAACATGGCTAACAATAGCTGCAGTCTGTAGGTGAGAATCTGAACCAAGTTATAACAAACATGTCCGATGAAGGTTCTAGAAACTGAATCGGTAAATAGGTAAAGCATGATTAACGCCATGGGGGACAACATATAGGCCACGATAGCGGATTTGCCCTCTACAGATTTTGAAAATGTTAAAACTGCCGGTTTTAACATTTTCACGCCACTTGACCAAATTCAGGTGAATTAGGATTCTTCAATTCTCAGGAATGGATGATTTTGATTCGTCATTGGGCCCAGTAGGTGGCGCTCTAGTCGAGTTTAATAAAGTTAAGGCAGGAAACTCAGCATAACACTAACACCTTTAGCAATCTCGATATTTTTTTATTTATTCCGTGGTTATAACTTCGCGCATTATCACAAATGCTACGGCCAATTTGGACATAGAAACAACAATTTGAAATGTTGCCAAAACCGATATGATACTTTGTACATGGCTACACTGGTTCCCTTGGACTGTATGCCAACCGAATGGCCAAACAGATGGTATCAGATTCAGAACCGCTTTCTGCAATTTGGATCAATTTTAGACACGTTTGAAGTCCAGCGCCCTGGTTTAATGGTGGCAAATTGCTTTTAACAATATGGTAGACTTGATTCAGTTACCAATTTTAAATGAGTTTGAAGAGTATACCCCAAATTAAGTTAAAGCATATAGATAAATATTATTTTTATCTATACATGGGTACAAATCTATTTATTTACTTTGTTAAATCAATATTTGTATGCAAAGTTGGCCATTATACAAACTAATTGAATTTGGCATACAAAGTATTACATTATTAAAGTTAGCAAAACAAACGCATTAGTTCCGTCAGGAGCATCCTTTTTGACAATGATAACGGAGTATTTATGTACACATACAGTGCACTGACATTATCAGTGTAATATTACAATGTAATCCCTGATTATTTTATATTTTTAGTCAGTGTTAAACCAGTTATTGACATGTACTCATATTTCTGCGCAATTATGAAGCTAGATCTTCAAACTGAGCAAAGCTCTGTTTCTATATAATTTGTCTACCCTATCATTGGTTTCGGGAGCCTGCCAATCTTTTATACCAGTAACCACTAGTTTGTTTTCTATTCATTAATCTTATGATTTTCATTCCAATCCATTTTCAATTCAGAATATACTACGCTTATGTTGGAGTTATTTGAGAAGCACCATCATTACTAACATTTCCAACCCATCATATTCCTAAAAATATTCCCCTAAACACCATTGTATTTCATTTGCAAGGAAATCCCTACCTTCACAATAGCACATCCATTAGCTACATATAAAAACTTTTTCAGCAAGTCACACCGCCATTGCCGTGGTCACCTGTGTTGTTAAACTACCACGAACCAAGGTCAAAGTCAAAAACATTCAAGGACAAACATCGATCGATTTGTTTGCGGAGGCATTACTTAACGCTTAATGATATTCGGTTATATTATGTACTGTATTAGTAAATAATGTTGTGTAATGTACCTATACATGGAAACTTACTTATAGTGTAGAGATGGCAGATATTAGATATATGGAGTACCTACGTAACATTTTTTTAACTATGTAAGTATGACGTTCCTTTTTGCCTTACC